CCTTCTTGCCACAGCTGTTAAGCAAATCACTACAATGGTTAAGTGAATGATTTACTTCAGGAGTGTCAAACTTGCAGCATCACAGCAGTGTCATGTGACATATTGGGATTCTTTTCCCCTTCACTAAATGGGGGGGGAGGGCCAGCACATGAGGCATACGGCTCACGAGTTTGACACCCCTAATTTGGTTGTCTTTCTACTCTTGCATCGGGCTTCCCGCCTCCCCCCTTTGACTTGTCAGAAGCCAGCTGAGGTGGTTACAAATGGTGATCACATGACCCTGGGAAAAGGTAACCATCATAAATACATGCCAATTGCCAAGCAGCCAAATTTTGATCACATGACCATAGGGCTGCTGCTGGGATCATAAGTGGGGAAAACTACTGTAAGTCACTTTTTTCAGCATTGTTGTAAATGTAAACAATTCCTAAATGAATGGTTGTAAGTTGAGGACTACCTGCATATGGTTGCAAAGAGTTCACACTGACTTGATGGCACATAAGCAATCACACAATTAATATGCAAAATCAAGAGGATTAGAAGAATGCACACATTTTTTCTTAACTTTTAGCTTTCATTTAGGCTTTTTACATACTTTCCACCAATATATGCATTTTGTAACTATCTGGCCATCATGCCATTCCTTTAGGGTAATACATTAAAAACAAAAATAAATAAATAATTTTTAACTTAAAAAAATAAGGGCATAAAAAGAGGATGATGTACGGCTAAATCTAGTTTGAATCAATACAATTTCCTATACCAGTCTTATATCTTTCTAATCTTGCAACCATCTCTCTTTTTGTCCATATATTATTTCATTTCTTTTATTCTTTAAACTTCCCACCTCTTCTCTTTTGGAGGACCTCATCAATTTCTTCCAACCATAATGTTTGGCCTTTCCCTTTCTCTTCTCTATATATTTAGTCTGTAATGTGATTTTTCACTATATGAACAAATCTCAACATATTTTTTTAATATTTATCACTCACTTAGTCCAATGTACACTATTTACATATGTTAAATCATCCTGAATATGGTAAAGGTAATGTACAGTAGATGCAATTGCTCATCTAGACTACTTTAGGCGCTACAGAATTATACATTATTTCAAGGGGATATCCAGATGGCATTTGGTTTCCTGACATCCATTAAACAGGGATATACTAAATCAATATTTCAATATATTATATCATATCAGAAAGAATATACAGATACAGAATATTTTATTCATTAGTAAACATTTCCAAAAGGCTCCAAAAAAGCCCTTTAAAAACCTTAATATCAGTTTAACTGGAAAAAGAAGTTCAAGTGTATTTCACTCATTTGGGAACTTAATTAATATAGAAAAAAACCAACTAATTTGAGCTGATAAGAATGACATGTACCCTCTCATTCTACAGCTTCATTTACTGCCACGCCTGCTCTAAATTCCTCCCTTCTCTAAAGCAGGTTTTAAGTGGGAGAAGGCTTCACAGGAAAGGAAAAAATATCATCATGTAAACAAATTTTCAATTACATAATACCAGAATTCACTTTAATGTTAAGGATTTTTCTTAATCATTTTCTTCATTTTTTAAATTAAAAAGTGTTACTCAGAATTAACATTTATCTAAGACAGTTCTCAAAGTATGGGGAAAGTAGGATACATACTTTCCAAGGGGAAAGAATGTATTGCAAAGAAAAATAAGGCTACTGGACAAACTATCTTAAACTGGTAATGCCAGGAACTCTCTCTCTGAAAGAACCAATTCTCATGTGGCACAGCTAACCCATGGAAAGACTGACTACAATAAATGCATAATTACTTATATTCTGGAAATCGTTGTAAATGCCTTCCTGGTCATTGCAAAGAAAGCTTACAAGTCCCCTGCAAGGCTCAATTGGGATTGGTGTTGTAATAGATTTAACTGGTGGTAAGGATCCTACTCTCTCTGTCTTCATCCATCTTTCTCTTCTATGGTAGGTGCAAGATAGACAAATATTGAAATGGGGAGAGAAGAAGCAGTCCTTGAAGTTATATGCTTCTGGAGCTCTTATCCAATGAACAAGGGAATACAGCAGCATAGTAGGCTTCCCACAATTATAACTGGATCTGTGAAAAATATTAATTTAACTGAGGATATATATGTGACACATTCAGCTTAACTGGCAGACATAATTGGAGCCTCTGAGGTATACCTAATTTGAAACTACACAACATTTTCTTACCTTCTCCTTTAATCAAAAGCACACTTTGCCATTATTTTTATATATTAAGAATGAACCACTGAGCTTGTTATACAGAGCAATTTGTAAGCTTTACTTTATAATAAAGCTGGTCCTCATTTAACAACCACTCATTCAGTGACCATTCAAACCTATAACAGAACTGAACAAATGGTACTTAAGACCAGTCCTTCTATGTGCAAAAACTGCAGCACTCCAAGTCATATGACTACAATTTACAACCTTCTCTGCTGACTTCTGACAAGCATAGTCAAGAGAGGAGCCGGCAAGAAGTTCAAGTTGCAGTCATGTAAGATCCTTGCTTAATGATGGCAATTGGGACTATCAGAACTGCCAACAAATACTCCCAATCACATGTTTTGACTTACAACCACATCGCTTTAATGATGAACATTTCCGGTTCCAATTATCATAGTTAAGCAAGATCCACCTGCACACAATCTCATTAGGCTAGCTGGATGTAGGCACCAGTCCAAATATGCAAGATTGTTCAACTCACAATCAAGCTCACTACCTCCCACTATGTTTGCATGTTACATATATTACATTTCCATAGCCATCCATACATCTCTACTTATATAAAATTGTACATACCCTTCACCAAGCTTCTCCAAGACATCAAATACTTCTTCAGGCTGTTTAGTCAAGCTGTCTTCACTGAGCTTTTTAAGCTTGCTAATAAAAATATAAAAACATTTGAAATAGTCTACAATTAGTAATTTGCAATTTACTTTTATCTGTAATTACTAGATATACACTTCTATTTTGTTAAGAATAAATAGAAAGGTGCAGAGTTTCAATGTGTACCACATACCTTCTCAAAAAAAAAGACTAAGGTAACTTCTAATATTGCATTTATCTATAAGTAATTATTCTCAAAACATAAATTAAGATTTTAATATGTTAATGTCAAAATTACAATTCTTAAACAGAAGGGCATCCATTCAGAAGTAATCAATTTCCCAGTTGAAAGCAAGTTTAATGGACAACTAAGCACACAAAGAGGGAAAGATAGAATCAAGCAAATCATAGCTTGGGGAGGAGAAAATCTGTACAAAGAGAAACCAAATCAACAGTTGTTCAACTGACTGCCACTTTATTCAGGGTTTTTTTTTTAAAGCCATCAAACCTGGCTATTCCAGACAGCCTCAGGAAAGGGATGAGAGGTATATGTCTGTTATAGATAGGAAAGTTGTTGCTTGTCCCATAACATATTATTGCTTTGGCTTTTTTGCTTTCTCATTGATATTATTTATCAACATCTATCATAATGCAAGATGCTCAGAATCCCAAGTGGATTAGAGCACAATATAAACTAAATTAAAATTAAATGGTGTCCTTTTCCATACATATGCTACAAATTCAAACACAGAAATTAGTCCACTATAATACATCATCATCATTCATAACAATTAAAATTTGTACTTATTTGTCGTTCATTAGAAATTGTACATCTCTCTCACAGAGAGCTTTGAAAAGCTGTTTGATCTTACATAAACAAGACAAAATAAATGCCATTCAATCTGCTTTTGGATTATGGATTTCCTGTCCGACCGCTTTCAGAGGGTCAGATTAGGTAATCATTTCTTTTCAGTGCTTATTCTTAACACAAGTACA